CATCTGGATACATAGAGTTCATATGATTCATAAAGTTCAAGATTTGGGTATATATTGTGCATACTTTTTCCCGTCACCATCATAGCATATTGTTCCTCTACTACTTTGTACAAGTGTCGGTCATCATCTGCTAGTGGATCCGGTCATCAACGTTGTAAGGTTTACCATCTAGTCCCATTACTAAGTTGTTGACGTATCTATCTCTAGGTAAATCTTTCTCAAGAGACTATTAGCATCGGTCTCCGGTTAAGTTTCGTCCCTGATCAATGGCGCAGAGGAAGACATCTCTCTGGAAGCAGTAACATCTGTTCCAACCAATTGCGTTGACACCATTTTGTACCCGTTGTTCGTGGCATTAGAACCAGAACTCGCACTTTTCTTTTTGGCTATCCAAGATATATTCTTAATAATTAAACAGTACAAAATATGGCTATTCAAATGAAGATTGCACCTAACCCACTGATAAACTTATCCCAATTTCGGAAAAACTAAAACTTGTTTACTACTTTTTTATTTATCAATCGTTTGTTCAATCGCCTTTAGTTCACTGGGTTATTCAAGCCTAGCAAAATTTAATAAAACAATTTCTAGGTAAAATCAATACGTTCTCTTAAATATCGAATTAACTGGTTAAAACAAAAAAAAAACAAAAGAAGGAAAAAAAAAAACTGTCGTATACAACTTCTAAAATTTTGAGAATCCTACATGATAAAAACAAAGATACGTTTATTTACACAAGACATTAGAAACATATTTACAAATTTACAATCAAATAAGTTCAATTCGATCATTCTATATAACCCCTACACCTACATGATACCTATAAAAAAAAATTACTAAAAATCATATGTGTTAATTTGTTACCAATTGTAATACTTTTACGTCTTTAACGTTAGTTTCTCATTAATTTATCTTAATGCTAAATGTAGTCCACAAATTAATTCAGGCTCATCACTCTTAAAAATATTTAAGATTACATTGATAAAATTTTAACTACGCCTTGTGCAATTTGTTACTGACTCTATATTTCCTATTTGACAACAACACCTTGTTGCGAAAAAAAAATGTCTTTCTCTGTAATCGTTTACATTTCCAAAAAATGTATATAGTTTCCTCATCATAGTCTTTCCTTTCTTTTTTTATATATATCATTTTAATTTGCTTTAAAACATCAGCAACCTACTGCCTTTCCTTTTTATACATTTCATTATGACTGAATGTATATATGTTGAGATTTTATTCCTTCTATTTTTTTTTTTTAAACTTGACCTACTTCTTGAAAACCAAAACAATTTAAAGTTTGTTCTATGCTTATTTATGAACAAAACCCATTGTTTAGACTCATTTTTTGTTTTACTACTAAATTAATTATTTTCTTATTCTTATTTTAATTTCTGATAATTATCCTCATAATTGTTTATAAAAAAATCAATTTAATTTTAATGCTAATTTTCCTTTAATATCAATTATCTATTTCACTTAAAGTTTGTCATCAGTCATGAAGTTCATGTGTCTCTCATTTTTTACAAATATCAATCTACCACAAAAATACTGTAAATTCCTTTGGGCAAAACATATCAACATTTATCTTTAATGTGCTATTTTCTGAAGATACTTCTCTTTATCTATTAACATTTATTTTATGTAAATAAGGCGTAATCTAACACCATAAAACAACTTGCACCATTTAATTACTTAACATCACTTATGTTAATCATCCGAAGAAGGGGTTGGAATCTAAAATTATAGACTATTTGTTTTCTCTAAACAAATGTGCGTAAACACTACCCAACTGCGTAAACCCATAATCATCAGTGGCAATAACACGCAAACAATGTATCCTCAATGTACCCTTAACTTCATCTACCAAAGGTTCTAAATCAACCTTCATATATACCGGTGCTCTACTAATTTTACGTAAGATATATATTTTCTAGAATAATTGAATGTATCTTCAAGAAAACAACCCATAATATAAATGCTATAGTATCAGACATTTTAGTTTTTTACATATTTACTCTAAACAAAAAACTAGCTTCTTCAAACTTAAAAAAAAAGTTTTATTTTTAAAAATCATACTTATTATATATAACGTATCCTATCTATTCAATAACTGCATATAAAAATAACTAAAAAAATATCTTCAATTGTTTTAAGAATATGTGTATTCATAATTCTTAAATTGACGTACAATTTCTAAAAATACTAATAAAAAATTTCGTGCGAACCACAGCTCGTGAACAAACTTCTGATTTTAAGCCTTTTAAATATACGGCCACACTCCCTTTAAAATTTACAAATTTACTTAATGTGTATGCCATCCCTTGAAAAGCCATTTCTACTTTTTGTACTGACATTGAAATATCTTGATTGTCCATAAAGAAAAATGAAAGTAACTTAGTTCTTACGTTTTATATTCCTTTGCGTTGTTTTAGCCAATCCAAGTCGATCCTGCTGTCTCGGCACCAAATTTACGACTTGTAACGAAGTCAGTAAGTGGATAATTAAATTTTATTATGTAATTACAAAGTTAAGAAAGATTCTAAAGTTCAAATGTTCGATTGTTCACAAACTGTCTTTAAAGTTGAATTGTTCAAATGTTCATATCGTCACACGGACACGTGATCGTATAGTGGTATAACTGTTCGGTCCTGACTGAGTAATTCGGATGGTTAGTGAATTAATTCCAGCCTACCCACAAGGGGGGAGACCTTGGCGGAATCTCCTTTTGGAATCTATCTGTACGAATCTATCTTTCGAGTCCAAAGCTGGATCTTATATAGTTCAGAGGGGTCATCCATCGTTACACAATGGCCCATAGCTGTAGGCCGGTTACGTAGTAGTCTGGTTGTGGAGTAATACTAGTCTGTGGTTAATTGTCAAACTATGCAATTAACCCCTGACGGATACATGTTATTTCACAGTAGACATGGTCATTTATTGGCTGCAGGGTATATGTCTATAATATTCGTACAGATTGTTATTAAGTGTCTAAAGGTTACATGTAATCGTTTCGGATTTGCTGTATTTAGTTACTTCCTGATGATTAACGTATGGAACACAATTGTGTTACACCTGTAGTTCACAGTAAAATATCAAAGGCACGCCGTAACTAGCCTCTTTTAAAAGTGAGTAAAAATATATAAAACATTTTCAGCGAAGGGTTTGAGGGCCACTAAAGGCCCCCAGAAGCTCTGGAAAAAATGACGCAAAATCGTGCATTCTGAGCGTTTCCCGGAACCTTTCTTAATCTAAAACGCAAGTTTTGTTTTAATTATTTTTCGACAATATTCTGGTCTCAAAGCAAAATATATAGATTCAGTGTAAGACTTTTAGTTTTTGGGGACAACATCAAAAGACCGATATGTAGGATAAAGCAAAAATTGTAATTCAAATAGTTAATTGTGTGGCTGCTGTTCTTTTGCCTTTTTTTGTTTTTGAGTTTCGGCTTGCAGGAAAAACGTTTTATACCTGTCAATTATGTTTTTTTTTTAAATTAAGTTAAGAGGGGGACTGATTATCATTGATATAACTATATGTGAATTCAGTTTTTATAACACATTTCAATTACAACTTGATGTTGTTCCTAACTGGGATAGAAAAGGTTCACTCAGGGTAGACCAAGGAAAACTGTTCTTAAGACCTCATTGCTACATTTTTGTGCTGTTTTAATATGTATACTGGCTGATTAATGTCGGCTCTGTCTGTTCTGGTCTTGTATTGTGTTTAGACTTTGGTGTAATTTTTTGTGACTCTAAAATTTAGTAATAGCTACTTTAAGTACCGCTTAAGTCGACGCTAGGAATAAAAGCCCTGTTCATTGATAATTGTATGTTTTTCTATGTATTGTGCGCGATTTTGTCCAATGCACATTTACTCCATATCCCTTTTCTATTTAAGGGCCTGAAAACGGCTTAATGCAAGTTTACGCCCTTCATTGTAAAAGGTCATATGACAATACATTATTTTTCTTTTTAAATGATTTGATTCCGGGAGATTGGTTGTCTCACTTTAATTTTAACCTATGTCAGCTTTTTAGTTAAACAGAAAAGAGAGTCAGTTTTGTATTCTTTAATATAAAGTTTTAATTTTCCTTGAAAAAGCGACCAATGTTTCTATGTTCGGTAGCTTCGTATCTTCTCAAAACATTTTCTCCAACAATATCTGGACATGTAACATTGCCAAACCACACAAACGTTCACCCGTCATTACCGACCACTTCGACTATGCTTTTTCAATATTTTTTATTTTTTTATTATCAATGTTGCAGAGTACATACCTTTTCATAGACTTACCGATACATATTTTTACGATTTAAAGTAGTTTTTAAAATCAGACAAAAGGTCCTTAAATATAATAAAACTTAAGTTTAAAACAAAATTACTAATTTACAAATGGATTCAACACTAAGACAATAGTCATAAAGAAGGGCAATCAATGAACAAAAGACAAACCCGGAGAACAGATGAGACACATAACGACAAACAATATAGACAATCAACATTGAAAACTAAAAATAAATGAGAAACTTGGATCCCGAAAAAAACAGGGTCGACGTTCGAGGATGAACAGAACTTGATTCTTGCAAGACACTCGCCGTGAAAACAATCTGATATGAAGACAAGCTTTTGTTTCAACTTTTTTTTTTAATTTCCAACAGGAGGCATTTGCCTCAATGTAGTGACGGCCCTGAACTGTGCTCTATGATGTACATGATATTTACTGACATCCATCTGTGGTAGTAATAATGTTACCCGTATATCATATTTCTCACATGAATAGTAGCTTGAATACATTTTAAAACTTCTTGATAACTATATTGAATTGCAGCAATGGCGTTTATGTGGTAAACATTTTGTCATCCACCAATATATGTATTAGACACCGGCTACTTTAGAAACTACACAGATCTCATTTAGCTACATGTAGGACAGTTCATGCACATGAACAATGTATTTGATTATGTAAATTAAATAAAATATATACATTTGTATTTACAGATATTGCATAAGTCATCTAGATATTATTGAAGAAGATATTAGATAAAGTAAGGTTACAATGTAACTCCGGAATGTTTTTATATACTAGAGCTATTTTCAAACAGTTTTCTTATCTTTACCACCATCTAAAAATCGATGAAAATCTAATTTATAATACATGCTTAAAAATGGTTTAAAACTACAATTTTAAAAGTTTATTATTGCTCTTGGTTGAGCATTTGATATTTGGAAACAAATTAATAAATGCGACATTCATTCCAAAAAAAAAATATAATTCTATTGGAAGTAAAGTGGTAAATTGTTTTTTTTTTTCAAATATAATTAAATATGGGTTGCTGTCTTATTGGCCTGAATCTAACTCTCATTTTAATCATACTGCTAATACAAAGCGTTACATGCAATTGTCCTAATCAATAAAACTGACCGATGTGAATTGTAGGAATGAACCCTTTTGGGACCCTACATTGTATATCAGGAGGAAAATTCCGTATTTTTAAACAAAATTCAAATTGTTAAACAACCTCATTGATTACGGACATTATGAACATGTACATGCACAGTGATTTTAAACGTGTAGAAAGACATGCTCATTTGATTTTTGCAACAAATGATGTAAATATTTTCAATTTTTGTATACAGCTGTTATTAATTAAATTGATTAATCAGCATGCGTTCATGTATACATTAACTTCCTCATAAGAATATTGTATTTTAACGCTTTAACATTTTGAGTGCCTCTGAGAACAGGTAATGCAATTATATATTCTTTTGAACATGTTTTGTTTTTGAAATTAGAGAATGTAAAGTGAACATATCCTTTGAACGCAACGATCATTCATATTCTGTCTGTGCAAAGGTGGGATGCCTTTTTAAATGAATTATTTACTTGTCAAACAGTTTTTTGTTTCTTAAAGTTTAAAGTTATGTGAGTCGAAAATACCCTTCCCCAAAATAGGACAAAAAAATACTATACCTAATTATGTTCAACTACACTTCTTTATGTATGCTGTTTGATGCCAAAATGTCAAGTAAATTCATGTGATTTCAAGATAAATTGGCATACAGATACATCTGACCAGTTCCGGAGTATTATTTTGTTACTCACAGTCACGTTATTTGCTTTCATAATTGATAGAATTTCTACCAATGATCTAACTTGTTTTAAGGCTAGAAATGTTTCCAACTAACGAAGTGCTCCAAATATTCTAATTAATATTTTATATTTTAGGTCTGATAGTTTGTTGGAAGAAATTTCTTCCCATTTTCTAACAGCTATATGTTTTTCATATTAGATCTACATGTATGTCTGATAGAAGACATTTCTCCAACTTACTAACTGCCACAAATATTTCATTTTAGGCCTATTTCTGATATAAAAACTGTTTTCCAACGAACTAACTGCTTCAAATATTCCATTGAAGTTTGATAGAAGAAATTTCTTACGACTTACTAACTGCCACAAATATTACATTTTAGGTCAGGTTTGATAAAGACATTTTTCCAACGAACTAATAGCTACATGTGTTTCATTTTAGATCTAATTGTAGGTTTAATAGCAGAAATTTCTTCCAACGAACTATCGGCTTGGATTGAATATTTCATTTCAGGTTTAAATATGATTGAAGAAGTTTCTTCCATCGAGCGATCAGCTCGACGTAATTCATGTTACGTTTGATAGAAGAAATTTCTTCCAACGAACTAACTGCCATAGTATTATTTTTTAGGCATAAGTCTGATAAAAGAAATCTCTTTCAATGAACAAACTGCTGCAATGATTTTATTTTTTTTCTCGAATAATAGAAATATCTTCCATTAAACTGACCTCTCTATGTACTTCTTCTAAGGTCTGAGAGAAGAAATTTGTGTCGTAAAATATTCTCATAGTTTTACGCAAGTTTTTAATTTTTTTAAAATGTCTTCTAACCATTGAAGTTATCAAAAGCCGTTTGTTTGTACTTGGTAATTTTTGATACATTCATGAATTTTGCATATTTAATTACGCAAAGAGGACATTTCTGGATTTTCCTCTTTTACTTTGGACTGCATTTTTAGATCTTTCAAAAACATTAATGTATCAATGTCATTACAAAATTATACGCAAATTATATGAAAACAATGTTAAACATTTTTTTTTTACCGATACAGATAGTTTAGTCATGATATTCAAAGGGGTGATGTTTACAAGGATATATTCCAATATGTTCAATACAAATTCGATATTTCTAAATATTCAAATTACTATTTATCAGGACTTGGTGATAACAAAACGGTAATTGACATTTTTAAATATAAAAGTGCTGGTAAAATAATGACCGAGTTTGTTGGTTTATGGGACAAAAATGTACACCCACATAGTACATGGTGAAATTACGAAGAAAGCTAATAGGTGTTTAGAAAACTATAACTTTTGAAGAATAGAAACGATGTTTAGAATCACAGCAAATCAATAAATATTATTAAGAGTCATCTTCACAATATCTTAAGATTAATAAGATTGCTTTGTCATACATTAGCTTATGAACATTACAAAATTAAAAAAATATGTATTAAAGAAACACAAATTATAAATAAAAAATAATGATAATAAAAATGAAAAGAAAAGAATTAGTTAAAGAAAGAAGATCAGACGTCAAATATGGTGAACTTAATAATCCAAAGTTTAATCATCTAAATTCTGTAAAAGTTAGCAGGCTTGTAGACATGGTAGAGGAAGACTATCCTGAATATCCTGAATATCTCGAAAAAGCTGATTAATTTATTTGTAATTTAACTGCAGTAGATTTACGCCACCACAGGTGCATACAACTAGTAGACACGTTAACAGAAATAAGAAGATGTGGTATGAGTGCCAATGGGACAACTCTCCATCCAAGTCACAATTTGTAAAAGGTAAACAATTATAGGTCAAAGTACGGCCTTCAACACGGAGCCTTGGCTCACACCGAACAGCAAGCCATAAAGGGCCCCAAAAATAAAAAAAGGCATAACAGTTAAAGGTATCCAAAACACGAATTCATAGGAAACTATGGACGCCATACATACATTAGAAAAGCATAGTCAATATAACCAAATATACTCGTCAGTAAACTAATATCCCGTAGATGTGATGTATCTAGTAGTAGTATGTACCTGTGACTGCTAAAATCTACTACCGTCAAAACAAGGACCAATTCATCAGCATGTTCAAGGCGGGTGGGGGTTAGAATGGAGTATGTTCATGCAATAGATCATCATTTAATTTACATTTTTGAACATACTACACAGAGAAACAACCCCCCTTTTCTACTACAGAAATCAATCAGTGGGTTCATTATTTGGAAATCAAGAAGCAGTGAACAATTAACTTTTTCAATCGGGTTGGTTGGACATGTTTTTGAACATGAAAATCACTGTATCAACCCATCTTACAACTCTTGAGGACTGGTTTGGACTAGGCGTTTTTATCAAAGAAGACACATATAATGTCATCTCTATAAAAAATAACCAACTCCTTTGATGGGGTTGGATGGACTATGTTTGTATGTACATGTATATGCAAATCACTACATGAACCAATCTACTAACACATGAGGACTTGTTTGAACGAAAGGTTTTCCAAAGAAGACATATATAATCTCATCTCCAAAAAAAAAAAATAAGTGTCCCTATTTTCCTACCGGATATTGTGAACAGTATGCATTTACAATATCCGAAACAGTCCAATGGTATTGATTTCTTTTAACAAAACAAAGATGTACCTGAACCACGCGAACTGGATTGTGTTTGATGATTTGATGTTGGGAAATAAAAAAAAGTGTAAAGATTACTGTGTTTGTTGACGGCACAACAATGTCGACTTCGCATATCTCTCACAAAATTATTTCAAACAGCTCATACCGACCAAGAATAATGATCATATTTATCGAGAATACTGTAGTGATATCACTAGAGAAGAGTGTTGTTCAGCTGTGCAATCGATGTTGGTTATAACCACATCGGTAAATCACCATTGATCTCGCCATCCAGAAAAGAGCAGAAATTGTTTAGATGATTTTCATAAAAGTTTAAATTAAGACTCGGAATCTAAATTAGAGACAGAAGCAACATCTGGAATATATATTACACCCTGGAAAGATAGGTGTAATAAGCGCACAAAGGAATATGACATCAGATGGATGAAAAAGTAGGATTAAGAATATAAGGATAAGATAAATGACTCGAGAGAAGTTTGCTATCGATGTCGTATAGTCGTATAGCTAAGTGGGCAACGTTTATTGAAACCAAAAAGTGTGTGTGTAGAAAAGGGGGGGATGAGTGTAAATGTGTGTGTATGTGCATTAGTGGGAACCCATTCAAATATAAAAAAGTATCTGTAGTAAGTGCTTTGCTGACAATGCAGACCCTAAACAATTGTCATGTCAGCAATTGTAGCCGGATCACCACTTGATACGATACACCCATCATCGTGAAAGACTGGAAAAGTTATGAGATTGCTATACTAATGCTTGAGACTTACAACTCTTTCCCAAACAGTCATGAGAGAAAAAAACATCATCAAGTATTCTCTGGACGAAGATGTGAGTTGGATCACCATTTCATTAAACACTGGTTCTTACGATATCGACATCATCACCAATGAAATCCAACAACAGTTACAACTAAACAAACATAAGTCAAAATTGTCATTGTTGCCAATAGTAGTTCTCTGAAAGCCACTCTAACTTAGCCAAAAAATACTATCAAGTAGACTTTAATTCTTTCAAGAGCATCAACACGATGCGTGAGAAAAAATAACCTACGCATACAACAAGATAACATAGAAGGTGAACAGATTGTAAACAGACTTAGAATTTAAGTCAACAGTGAAATCATCGGTGGTAGTTATGCCAATGAATCACAAAAAACACCATCTGCAGCTTTGTCCCAACTGTTACATCCACAGGAGCACTTATCTGACTGATCAAGATGGACATCTTATCGATTTGAGAGGTAAGCAGTTCACATACGCTTTCGTCTTCGCAAGATACATACACTAATTAACTCAAACGCGGTGGATATGAGTATGTTG